CCCCCAGCCTGCCCCCCACCCCATCCACCCACCACTCCCCAGGCAGGGTAGGGCCCTCAACGGGGGCTCTGCAAAGTCCACCAAATCTTCCTGTGCTGGTCCTAAGCCCTTCCCCATGTGTCCAGGGCCAGAGTATATCCCTTCATGTGGGATGGGCTCTCAAAGTCCCTTCTTCAGATGGCTGTGTTTTTAAAGGCTTGAAATTTCTCCATTCCCTGGTCCCCACCCCCAATACTTGGATATCCAGAAAAGAAGATTCCCTTATAAAGTTCTTGAATTCATTATTTTTTTTCCTCTTAAAGACAAAGTCCAGTTGGCCTCTCACTATATAGACCAGGTTAGCCTCTAACTCATAGAGATATGACTGCCTTTGTCTTCTGAATGTTGAGTTTAAAGGCATGCACCATTATACCCATCTGGATCTTTTTAACACTTTTGTTTTGTTCTTTGAGAAATTCATACAGTGGTTTTGATCATAGTGAGCCCCCACTCCCTTACCTTGCATTCATTCTTGTAGTTGTTTTTTCTTTTGAGACTGGAAAGGGAAGGATGGCTGTTGTGCAGCATGTGTACTGCTTGTTACTCTCTGAAGGAAACATCTATCTGCCCCCACCCCCACCCCATGATCCAGCCAAGAGTACTGCTGGGCACTGGTTCTGCCTCTGAACTGCAGGCCCAAATCTGCAGGAACTTTCTATCTGTCCATGGCTTCATTGTATTATAGAAGGCCAGAATTCCTCTGCATGTGTTTTAGGCAAAGAGATGAGACAGTTGTTCTGGCCTTCAGACTATCCTGGCAGCCCCAGGCCCTTTATGTTACTTTCTTCTATTACTCCAATTGTTCTGAATGTTAGAGCCCCTTAGAGTTTAGGGAAGACTTGTACAGCAATCCTTGTGGATCCCTGTCCTTCACTTGTAACATATAGGTGTTTGTTGTGTGTTTTGGCCTCAGTTTCTGTGTCTGATAGCCCTCTCTTTGTGTGTGGCATGCTCTAGAACTCATTGCAAGCAGAGAGTGATGGGTGGAAGCAAGCCACTTCATCTTGGGATCATCTCCGAGAGAGTACAGCCCAGGGTTGCACTTGACCATACAACATCTTGCTTGAGCTCTGATGGATGCTGTTTGTCAAGTGAAGCATGCTCAGAACACCCATTTTCCAACTCTTTAATGTATTATCTGGGTTTCCTGGATAGTAGATTCATATTTCAATTTGTCTGTCATTTTTGTGGTTGAATAATCCAACATGGGCAAATAAAAATGAATGTTTGTATTTGGATGCTAATTTAGCTCTCAAATGGGTTTTATTTTGGACATTATTGAAATTAATCTGTTTTCCTTGAGCACATTCCACTTATTGGCAGTGTCCCTCCCACTCCAGAATATACTTGGTGGCTTTGGGGGTAAATTCATAAGATAGATAATCCATGCCAAGATAATGGAAAAGTTTATTCTAAAACTTCTTTTAAATGACAAATTGATGTCTGAACATTCAGGGTCTGGAAAGATATCACCTCAATAAAAATCCTGACCAGACAAATCCATTTCCTTTTTCTTTGCTCCTTTTTGACAAGTGTATTTGTATGGATGTACTACTTTTTTTTTTTTCCTCATGAGATGGAATCTTGTTCTACTCAGGCTGTCCTTAAGCTCCTGAGTTCAAGTGATTTTTCTTGCCTCTGTCTCCCCAGGTGTGCACCCCATGTGCTCAGTACCATGCATCCTTTCTCAGAAAGGGTCTCTTGTATAGACCAGGCTGGGCTTGAACTTTCTGAAAATAACTTTGAACTTCTGGTCCTCCTGCTTCCATCTCTCAAGTGCTGGCATTATTATATGTGCCACCATCTCCAGTTTATACATACACATTTCAAAGAACTCTAAATGTAAAACTGCAGTGGCTTCCGGGTAAGGCACTACTATTTGAATAAGCACGTAGGCTTTGGAGCTGACAGATTCTCTGCAATTCCAGAACTAGGAGTAATTGAACAAATTCAATCCTTCCAAACCTTGATTTTCCTCACCTGTCAAATAAACCCACACTTTCTGTGTATCATGGTTATAAAGGCAGAGATATGGGAGCATGGGACATGCACTCTAGTGGCAGTCCCTTTTTGTTTCTCCAAAACCTCTGCCTTTCTCTGCATAGAGAAAACATTTTCTTTTGGAGCTGGTCTGACTTTGGCTCATTACTGACATTTAGAAAGTTCCCTTATACAGAGAGCTGGTACATGACAGCTTGCTTTTGTAATAATAGTATGGCATGCTATTCTAGTTCCTTAGCCATGTAGCATTTTACTCACTGCAAATAAAAGTCAATAAACTGGCCACAGTGATACAAGCCTGTAATCCTATTTCTCAGGAGGTAGAGGCAGAACGATCGGGAGTTCAAGGTCATTGTCTAGTACATAGCATGTCTGGGCCATTTGAAACCTGTCTCAAACCTCCCCCTCTAAAAAATGTTAATAACAATACCAGTTTTCTGTCACTATGATAGCAACTATGTAGGTAGTGTGTAGATTTGAGGCTCTGCTGCCTTCTGGTTGGTGACCTTGGGAACATCATTCAGAGATCCCAAGCTGCTTCCTCATCTATAAAATGAGAAGAACACTATTGCCTCATGGGGTTGCTGGAGACTGAGTGAAATGATACAGTCTGAGCTCTCAGAACATAGGAAGCACAACAGAATTTTTTTTTTCTTTTTTTTGGTTTTTCGAGACAGGGTTTCTCTGTGACTTTGGAGGCTGTCCTGGAACTAGCTCTTGTAGACCAGGCTGGTCTCGAACTCACAGAGATCTGCCTGCCTCTGCCTCCCGAGTGCTGGATTAAAGGCGTGGGCCACCAATGCCTGGCCACAATGGATTTTTTGCTTGTGGACAATTGACGCTTGGGGTGCATAGAGCTGGCATGGTAAAAGGCAGTATTTATTGTGCACATGTGTACATGCTCAGTCTAAAATGTGGTACTGAGGAGGGGACCTAGGGCCTCACACATACCAGGCAAGCACTCTATCACTGAGCTACCTTTTTTCTTGAGATAGGGTTTTGCTAAGTTGCTCAGCTTGTTCTGGAACTCTGTAGCCCAAGCAGGCCTTGAACTTGAGATCATCCTATCTCAACCTCTTAAGTAGCCCGGATTATAGGACTTCACCACCAGGCCTAGAATAGCAAGCCATAAATGGTAGCTGATATTTCATCCACTTCATAGTGAAGACAGGAATGTTGGTAAAAGTCTTGCCACCAACTCAAGAGTTGTGTTAGTTGATTTGGAAGTAACTTGGTAATGCAGGATCTCTGGCAATTGTGAGTATCCATTGAAATTCTAGCATCCCAGTTCATCCATTGCCTTTCTTGGACTTTCCAGGCCAAGCCCAGCATCCGGTGCTTCATTAAGCCCACTGAGACACTCGAGAGGTCCCTTGAGATGAACAAGCACAAGGGCAAGAAACGGATGCAAAAGAGACCCAACTACAAAAACGTTGGGGAAGAGGAGGACGAGGAGAGAGGGCCAGCTGAAGATGCCCAGGAAGACGCTGAGAAGGCTAAAGGTACAGAGGGTGGTTCAAAAAGCATGAAGACAAGTGGGGAGCGTGAAGGTGAGTGTACCCGGGAACGGCCCTTTGACCCACGCCAACCCCTGCAGTCAGCGAGGCTTCTATGTCCTCTGTCTTCCTCCTGCTCCTTGTGTGTACCCTGGGTGCTTTTGCTCATCTCAGTACCCACCAGTGTACCTCATTCTGGACAGCCCAGCCGTTCAGAGGCAGCTGTTGGCACAGCAGATCTAGTACAAGTCCCACCCTGTGTGACCTGGAGCAAGGTGTCCTATCTGTAAAAAGATAGTTACATATCATGGCCACTTTACAGTGCATTACCAGAGTTAAATCATACAGTGCATTTGGCCATTTCAGAACAGCACCAGACCTTTAGAAAATGTTCTAGAGGTGTTTGATGCTGCTGTTATTGTTGCCATCTTCACTCACCATGATGGCTGCTGTTCTTACTCCTGCTAACTTGGGAGTATGATTTGTGTCCAGTGCACTTTGGGAAGGAAAAGGGGCCCAGGTTTGGAGTCACATGATTAAACCCAGATTCTCCAACTGGGTTTTTACAAGTCCCATCTGTTCAGAGTGAGGCACAGTTGTGTGGTATATAGGCTTTTGGTGAACAGAAACCTGCCTTTTACTCTTGTTCTGGCAGGACTGATCTGCCTTCCTCTCTTCCCCTCTCTTGTGTAGATACTAAAACCCTCTGGAACTGGAGAGCATTTGATCTGGGATTCAAAATATTTGAAATAGCATGTTGTTTGTATCATGGACCAGGCCCACAGCCACTCAGATGGAGCTTCCAGCCAGAGCCCTTGGGTGTTGGTGTTAGTGGGACTCTGCTTGGTGGTGGTGGTAGAGTCAGAGTTCTACTGGCTGGAGGGAAGACCCCAACTCTCCTGGGACAAAAGCAATCTCTATGGAGCATCCCAATTGAGAGCTGTGAGGTTGGGGAAACATTGTGCTGACTAGCCTTATGGACCCTGAGGCTAGCAGTGGTAACTCTAAGACCCCCAGTCCAAAGTGGGTGGCACAGTCATGCAGCGCTTTACACCAACCACTGACTAGAGCAGTGGTTGTCAACCTTCCTAATGCTGCAACCCTTTAATACAGTGTCTCATATTGTGGTGGCCCCAACCATAAAACTACTTTCATTGCTACTTCATAACTAATTTTGCTACTGTTATGAATGTAATGTAAATATAACTGATATGCAACCCCAATGAAAGGGTTGTTCAACACCCTCCACCCCCCCACCCCCGCCCAAGGATTGCAACCCACTGGTTGAGAACTACTGGACTAGAGGCTTGTTTGCTTTTGAAAACTGTATGCAAGTTTACAGCCAGTGCATACCCTGTCATCCTAGCCTGTTGACTCCTATAATGATTATCATGGCAATTATCAGTGAATGCCACAATAACATGTCAATGAGTCTAGCCAAAATGTTCCCTGGTGGCCCAGACTTCCTAAGGCCAAGGTCTCTGGCTGCTTTTATTTATGTACATTGTACTTTTGGTTTACTTGGTACATTTGGTTCACTGGGGTCCTGGAACCCTATGCTGTAAGTATCACTTTGGTGGGATGGTTGAGGGGCAAACACAAGGTAAGTCATCCTCACTTGCTTATTGTAGGTTATGTTAGGGACTTCACTATCTGGGAAGAAAGTTATCAGCTCACACCCTAGAAAGCCAAGGTGCAGTAGCATAGTGCAGGATGGGTAGATGGATGTCTGAATCTTGTTTTGCATCCTGTGTTCTTGTCAATTTCATCTTGGAAAATGTTCCTGCTTTTGTCCCCTGCCTTTTAAGGGATGTTCATCAGCTAGCTATGACTGTGACTAGCAGTGGTATGGAGAGGTCAGGCTTGGCCCCAAACTCTAATGTAATTGTCAGCCAGATGGCCCAGTCCCGCACAAAGGGGCTATAGGCCACTGATTGAGGCTGCTACATCCTTTAGGCTGCTGGGCTTGGAGTACCAGTCTGGTGCTGCATCCTGTCCCTGCCCAGGGGAAGACACTGTTACTTAGCCTCCCAGTGTGGGTTTTCCAGGCTACCCAACTGGATTGTGCCAAACAGGGCCTCACAGTTTCCCTAGAGGCCAGCTGCAGCAGCTGACACAGACTTCATAGCTCAGCCAAGAGTGGCTCTCAGTGACCCTCATGGCCATTTTGCTGCCCTGGTAATTTCTCAAACACACTAATCATTCTAAAACATGATGGGCTGTCATTTCCCACTCAGTTCATCATAAATATATAAAGTGTCCACAGGCCTGGCCAGTGTACTGACATTCTGTAGCTTTCCAAAGGATATATCTGATCTTTTAGTTTCAGGTTTGAAGGTGTTGTTAAGGAATGCTTCTCCTTATTCTGCATCTGTGTTTGGACAAAAACTATAACTGTTAGAGTCCTTTCCCTTGGAAAGGTGTCAGTTTCTTTCATTCTTACTGCAAACCAGATGTTTGTTCATGTAGAGTTATGCAGCGACCCATAGCCAGGTCTGGGTCATGTGTCGGTAGTGGCTTTTCCCTAAGTTCTATGTATGTGTATCAGCAGTAGGGATGAGAGCGCTGGTGCTGTGTTCAAGCTTCTCCCCTCCTCCCTGTTGAGGTGGCTAGGACACTTGCTTCTTCCTTGTGTTCTCCTCCAGTAAGCTCCTTTCATTGGGCCTGCATCTAGGAGGTGGTTAACAGTGTGGTTATGACAGACACAGGTGTTGGCACTCGGGACCTCCCCCACATCTCTGCTGCCCCTGTTCTGGTGTCAAATTCTCTATATAGAAGGGAGGGTAAAACAGAAGAGTTTAAAGGACATCTCATGAGTCACAGTTTTCCACAGCTTGATTTGAATCTGGCACCCTGAATTCACACTTCTCTGCACTTAAGCCCAGACAATGAAGGTGTGTGAAATGAATGTGTGCCTCTGACCCATCCTACCCCATCCCCAGTGTACAAAGAAACTTGGTGTCCCTTAGTTCTCAAGTCCTGGGTGACTTGTTCCAAGGCCATGAGATTACGCCCTCCCTTCAATTTCTGCAGAAATGGACTGTTAAAGAAAGACAAAGGATGCCATCATCCCTTAGCTGAAGAAGCTCTGCCCAAGAAGGCAGACAGTCCCAGCATATATTTGGAAGGGACAGCCATCTGCTTTTGGACTTGCTTAGAGTAGTAACTTAATAATGGAATCACTCCACCTCCTCCTGGGAACAGTAGGGCTGGGCTGCTGGGTCTACCTATGGAACAAATAAGAATTGGTTGGCTAGCCCCTTTCTAGCTCTCTTCCCGGCATCTCACAAGGGCCTGCAGTGATGGCAGAAGGCAAAACTGATGGCACCTGCCTAGTCACTTGGGATTAAGGGATTCCTAAGGCTTTGATCCTCAGTGTTGCACTTTAAAAAGTCTCTTCTGGAATGAAATGGAACCTAGTCTCATTCTTGACTTGCCTTTGAGATATTGAACTCTGAGTCCTAGTCCTGCCCTTGAGCAGCTTTGTAATTTTGGGTAAGTTGATACTCTGCTACACATGTCCACCTGTGGAGCGGCCTTCTTGATGCTCCACCTGAGGCTGTTACAGTAAGAACTCCCATGCTGCAGCATTGGGCTTGTGATACACTAGCAGCCCAGGTTAAGATGGAGGGTAGAGGCATAGAAGAAAGATGGGTATACTCTGGGCCTACACTTTCAACAGTTAGTTTCTCCGGGCCTTTCTTCTTTCCTCCCTTCCTCTGTCCTCGTATGTATCTATCACTGTGTCCAGTATTCTTTGCATCTTGCAAAACTGAGGGGTTCAAACTCAGCCCCTCACACTTGCATGATGAATACTTTACCCACCGAGCCATCTGCCCAGCCCAGCAGGGCTCATTTCTGTCACTGATGAGTAAGATGGATGAGCATGGATGAGGGTGTAAGTGTGGGGGCGAAAGGGAGAGAAAGAGACTTCTTAGTAGACCCAGGTTCTGTGGTGTAGCAACAAGCAAAGAAGGGTACACACCCCTGCCTGCTCCTGCCATTTCCCTGGCCAATTTCACCTTGAAACACTGCTCAAGAGTCAGCCAATCACAGCCCTCTGTGGTTACCTAGGTAACTAGGAGCATGTCTTTCCCCTTCCCTTGACCTTTCTGTGAAGAATGAACTTCCTCCCACCCTCCCCCTCCATTGTCTTTCTTTCTGTGGTTTCTGGAATAGAGAATCCAGATTGAAGAAATCCTTGGATTGTGAAGGCAAAGACTACTGTGACGTGCTGCCTGCCATTTCCCCGAAAAGCACTTCTTCTACCAAATATTAATCAGATTGGGGTGTACATCATCCTAGGCAAGTCAGGGAATTACTGCTATTACTTGAAAAATCAGCCTGTCAGAGGCTGGGGGCGCTCCAGGATGTGGCCAGAGTTGTCATATCAAGAAATCGATGTCTTTGTGTCCTGACCTTCACAGCTCTCCCAGTACTGCCATCACTTGCATGGCACCTAGGAGATAAAGCTATTCTTGCTTGGTTTTGGTTCCTGCCTGTCTGTCTTTTCTCTTCTTCTTCTTCTTCTTCTTCCTCCTCCTCCTCCTCTTCTTTCTCCTCTCCTTTTGTTTTTTTATTGTGGTAAAATAGTGGAAATTGAAACATCTTCACTACTTTGAAGTGCACAAGTCAGCAGTGCGAAGTGAAGGTGGGGTTTAAATGAGGTCACCAGACCCAAGATAAATGATAAATAATGATAAATAGATGTTTTATTAGGGAAGAACTTACACAGATAAGAGTAAATAACTGCCGAGGTCTCCCTGCTCCAGAAGATGCAGTCTCTGCCCTTCCTATGCTCTCCGAGACCTAAGAGAGCATGAGCCCGTAGCTCCTCTACCTTAAAAGGGTCACATCTGCACCTGAAACCATGCCCAAAGAGTGTGGCCACTACTACAGGTTCATTGGCAAGGCAAGATGCCACTATAACTAAGGGGGCCCATCTTGTGTATCCATCACTGTCATCCTGCAAAACTGAGACTCTACCCCAATAAACAACCCTTATTCTCCCTGCCTCCCAACAACGGCAAGCCTCTGTTGCCTGTCTTTATGGG